TAAGAGAAATTTTTATTTTCTATCACATCACGCGTTATTTGGATAGTATGTCGACTACTATTTAAAAACTTCTACAGTAGAAATGCCTATAGAGAAAAATATATAATTAAATAATAAAATATATAATTAAATAATAAAATATATATTAAATTTTACTTGTGAATTAAAGTACTTTAAATGCTATATTGCACTATGGAATGCTAATAAAATTTGTTTTATTACTCTAAGGTTGAAAAACTCACATTCAAAATTCTTTTTACACGTTTTTATATCTATCTTAAATAAGTTGCAAAACGTTAGAATAACTGAATTAACTATTTTAATATAAAAAAATAAAGTTCAATGTTAAACAATTTTACTAAATGTTTACAATGTTATTTTTAACTATCAAAATTTTAATGACAAAAATTATATAAACTAAAACAGCACATGGGCGAAAATTTAATAGTATTCCAGGACAAAGGAATCATTGAGGAACTATTAAAAAATTTTTTTAGTTATTCGTGGACTTACACTATTGCGTGTATTACCAAAAATTGTAAAATATGTAACTTAGATCCCTTTATCATTCTGTACAATTTTGTTTCATTTGATTAGTTAAAATATTTTTCAAGAATTTTATTGCTATGCGGAATAGCCTTCAATACTCGTTCAGGGGAGAATTAAGAATTAAATTTGAATTTTTTTTAATACGTGTACTAACCCTAAATAACAGTTTAAACTGCATTTCAAATTTTTTGTGGAAAGATTTTTGACTTCATCATATCAAGAAAATCCGCGAGAAAATCAGTTAAAAAGAAAATGAGAAATAAAGTATTAATAAATACAAATCAGGTATTCATAAGCGCTAAATAGATGCTAAATATACGAGTATATAAACTATGAAAATTATATAATAATAAATAATTTTCAAAATTGTTAAGTGTAATGTTTCACATACATATAAGATTTGATTTTAGAAGAGAATTCTCTTGTCACTGACATCATTATATCTTTTTAAGAATGAGTCTACCTTTCTTTCAGTGTACTCTAATTGCAGACTAAATGGAGTATTCCGACAAGAAATCCCGACACGGTAATCCGCAAGAAGCGGTTCGTGAATTAACAACTTGCGGATGAGCCGTACTTTCTTCTCCCTTGAAGAGAAGATGGATTTTCTAAGAAATCGCTAATTCCGCTTTCATCAGTGAGGATCAAGAGAGAATGTGATCCGAATCTTCATAGATCTATATAATTATTTAATTAAATATATAAATTTAATAGATTTAATAGATTGCTTCGAATGGAAATAAAAAATAAATTAAACTCATACAATACTTAATATATAATAATATACAATAGCAGTGACGAAGTTTTCGCTCCTTATTTTCCTTTTACTTCTCCTTTTCTCAAATTCATTCGTTGTTTACATATGTATAACACTCGCAGGTTGACACTCCAAAGTAATTAACTTTACTTTAAATTATATCGATTCTATTTCTTGCTTTTCAAATTAGTTTTAATGACTGGACAATCGTGTGTTGCATATTAAAAATCTAGCATTTATATTAATAATGATTTTCCTCGGGACGATGCAAGGATACATTAGGTGTAGCCTTGCATCGTACCAGTTGCGTGTAAGCGCTACACTGCACTAGAGTAGTGTACACCAGCATGGTGTACACTACTTCATTATTGAGCTAATATTTTGCTGTCGATTGACCTCTATTTTCAAATTTTAAATGTCACACTGACTCGGTGTAGCCGAAAATCCCACTTCGTGCATAAAGTTTGCACTACATTATAGACACGGAAACACGAATGAGTTCGCTTACCATCAGCCATGAAAACATGATACACTATCTGGTGGGAGATAGTGCAGCCAAAAGAAAACGCTATAAGAAAGTTCATCTTTAATATTAAGATTAGAACAGAATCGTTTATATGAATAGTTAGAGAAATTCGAATTATGGTCAAAATTAAGTAATATGAAGTAAAAATTGCCTTAGTAAATGATGAGCGACGGCTAAACCTGGTGGAAGTCACTCAGAGTCAATAATACAGGGTTGGCCATATTCGACGGAAAGATGTTTTTTTTTTCAATCATGGGAAAGAGATGTTAGATCGAGTAACGACGTTTCCCATGATTAAAAAAAAAAACATCTTTCCGTCGAATATGGCCAACCCTGTATATGTTAAGGTCAAGGTTAACGGAACTGTCTCCCTTATTTGGCATATTTACCGTATTTGTAAATAAATTTATCGCAGATATGTGACTGCGCGCCGATTATTTTCGATTTTGCAATATCACAAATCGGAATAATAATAATAATAATAATTTCCTCAAATGAAAAAACCCGTGTGGAAATTTATTCGGGAATTCCATACTTTCATACTGACTCTATATGGGCATTTCTGAGGCATCCAAAGTAAAGGTTTGTCAAACTCACGCCCATTTAGGGTATAGTTAGGACTTTAACTTAAGTTCCCTAGTCACGGCCCGAGCAGGGTCTAGTTTGGATTCCACTTTTTCCCCAAGGTAGTTATACTTTGGTAGTTATACTAGGCCTGCTCAGTTGCAGCACATATAAGGCTCAATTTGATCTCAAATTTTTTCTGATAATAGTTTAATTTATAGGATATCCTATAACTATGCCTTAAATGAGCTTGAGTTTGATAAATATTTATTTTGGATGCCTCAGTAATGTTCATACAGGGCCAATATTGTAAGAAATTTAGAGGAAATAGGCTCAATTAGAGAAGTCAGTGAATTATCAGTGTCAAGGTGTAGCTCAGTAGCAGAACGGAAGTCTACCAATATGCAAGAGACTAGGCCTAGGTTTGAATCCCGAAACGCTCTAATATTTTTTTCGTTTATTTCTTACAATATTAAATATGAAGTACCTGGATAAATTTCCTCATGGATACATTAGCCCTACTTATAGTTATATAAAATATGCCCAGGTTAAAATTTTTATACTTTTGGTTCAATTTTGGATTGTGACGCTTCTTTATCTAGCTCCACATTGGCTCTCAAACCTGGGGGCCAA